ATAGCGTGCTTCATTAGTCTCTTGAATTGATAAACTTTAAATCAGGCTCAGGGCAAATAATTATAATAAATAGCGGCGGAAAATGCCCCACTCAAGTTATTTATGAACGGTCTTTAGTTTCTATTATGTATTTGCCATCCCAACAATTCACTTCTACTGTTAGATACATCAGTATTTGCAGAAAAATATTGAATCCTATAGCGACGTTGATTACTCAAGGTTCATTGTAGAGTAATGGCTTTTAAGTAACAAAATGTGGCAGCAGTATAGTAAGGTGATTGGTTAACTAATTGATTTGCAATAACAAATAAGATGGAAGAAATATAAATTAATGTTAAAGTTCCTTGATCCGATGTGGCAGCCACTGATAAAGCAGCTGTCAGTGTGTTAAAGACTAATACTCGAATTTCAGATCCACGTGAAGCGTAAAAGATATCCACTATAAGCAAGAGTGTTAATTTTATATCATATTGCAAGTATTTGTCATGGTGTAAGCAGTCATGTATGAGTGGAGAAGAATCACTTGTAAGTGATTTAAGCCACTTCAACGTTTCATATATTTTAATTCTAACATAGTTTAGCATTCATTACGAAGGTCTGCAATGATCTACGCTTTTCAAAAGATAGTCTTATCAATTGATCGAAAGTGTTCATATCCAAAAAAATGAAGGTAAGATGCTTTGATGGCAGTTCGACAAGGTAAGGTTATTTGGTGACCATTTGAATTGAGAGGAATATCACTAATTCCGCTTTAGAACGCTGATCATCTGTTAAACTCTTTTCTAAAAAAAATAAGGAAACTTTCTTTCCGTAAAAATAGCTTGTACCATACGCAATTTATTGCTCGAGTAATCCAAAACTACTCTGGAAAAAAGGTAGATAAGCTTTTTTTGAGTAGGGCCCTTATCGCCAGAAATCAGCTTCTATTTCGTCATTTAAGTGATATTCAGAGCAACTGACAGCAATTTCCAAGCTATTTTTTCGGACAGAAACTTTCAAAGCTCCCTTCTGGAATCGTTTAGCTAATGTGGAAAGCCAATTTGGAATCAGCATTTTAAACCGCATCAACTATGCCTCTTAATTTGAATGCATACTATATTCTTTCCTTGTCAGTTCAATCTACAGACCTTTAGCACATTGGCGAGCAATCAGGCTCACTCCATTGAATATGCAATTAAAAACACCCTTCTATGAGAAGTATTTTCAGATTTAATGGCCTAGTTGGGGGCCATGCGTTGAAATAACACAGAAATGCAACTAAATAGCTATAAGATACATTCATAAAAAGGTGCATATATTTTGACATTATCGGCGTATATCTGTTGCCAGACAATACCGTAGTAAAAACCAAACAGAGGAACAATGAAACTAAGTACGGAAATTTTCTGAAAAGCATATTCAATTTTCCGCCTTGATCAGTCCTGGAAGTGTAACCTAAACTAGGTAGAAAATCTCGTAACTCCGAGTTCAAAAAGAATATGTTGTGAATTTAAACTTTTAGAAGGCCATCTTCCGTGATAGTGAACCCTCCTCCCTGGCGTGAAGTTGACTCCGGGTGTCGAGCTGCGAAGTACGGCGGAGGTTTATTTCGAAAGGGAAGGAGTTCCACGTTTTCGGTTCCCCGGATGCCCAGCAAAGGGTAAGCCTTGTCAGAGGTGCCATGTCTGGCTGATTCAGTCGCTAGGTGTTTTTCTGATCCACAAAGGTTAGATGCTAAGTTGGGGAAGAATTCTGTTGCTTGAGTTTGTAAAAGGAAGCTTTGCTCACTAGATCATATCTTCGACTCGGATATCATCAAGACCAGGCCAGGTTGCACAGGACGCCATGGATTTCGAACCAAAAAACATGCCAACGACCCGCTATGAGATTGTCTCATGTTCTGCACCTACAGCGCCAGGCTCCACTAACGTGATCTTCACGCCCTTCTCGAAGCTGCTGGGCGCATCGACTACCAAGTAAAACGCCCTGCAGGAAACAAAGCGACTTCAATGCGGAAATCGGGATGCCACAAAAGGGGAGCTAGGATTGGGAGTTTGAATCAGGACTCAGGAATGAAAATGGTAAGCGTCTTGTTAAACTCTTATCCGTCACACCTTTTTTCATGGCAGCTTCTATTCTAATGAAGGAGCCACCCAACAGTACGATGCGGAGATCGACCACAATCTCACCAAGTGAAGGTGGAGCTTACTGGACGCCTCATTGGCAACATCCTTAAGCAGGGGTTCACATTACCGCCTCCTATGAGCAAATGCGACTCACCCGAAAGCTGGAAAGGAAGATCTGTCACCGTGTTGGAGGACGAAGAGAAGTCGTATATGACGGCGCCAGATGGAGGAGCTTCTGTCCATTTGTGGATGGCCCATTGAAGAGGACATAACGAAGGGCTATGACCTTCCCAGAAGACTAAGAGCCTGTGGTGAAAGTGCCTCAATGCTAACAAGAAACCTGGAACGAATTTCGAAAGTCACAAAGGAGCTGTTAGAGGAGGAAAATACTGAGACTGGATCCGACTGCATCACATCTCGAGTAACTGGTAGCTTGGTTGTACACGCCGCAATCCAGACCATAGGGTGACATGTTTCAGCTGACCTCGTACGAACTGGAAGATCGCCTACACGAGATACTTGCGGCACATCTAACACTACAAAAGAAAAGGTCCTTGACCAATGGAGATTCTCCCAAACAAGCCTCCTTCATAAGAAGGGCGACAGGGAGGATCTTTGGTACTACTGTCCGGTATGCCTGCTGAGCGTGCTTTACAAGCTCTACACGAAGATTATTCCCAATATATCGAGGAGACTGGATGAAGCCCAATCTGTGTTACGAGCTTGATTTTGCAAGGGATTCAGCTGCATGGATCACATTCAGACAATTTCGAGGACTGTCGAGGTTTGCCGAGAGTACCGCCTACCTTTCTTCCCGACGTTCGTCGACTATAAGAAAGCGTTTGGAACTGATGCCATATGTTCAAGTCAATGTTCTCGACCAATCGGTGGACCACCTCAAGTAGGACATTAGCCGACTGCAACAGGAACTGCTCTACAACAGTGCAGCTTTTCCATCGTCCCCTTAACATACCAATTTCGAAGGAGGTTCGACAAGGCAACACTGTGTCGCCAAGCTGTTTATCGCAGCGTTGCAGTGGGTGATGAAATTACTGGATTGGAACGAGAGAGGTACACGAGTTGATGGGAGATTCCTCTCAAACCTTTATTTTGCGAACGACATTGACGAATTAACCGGAAGAAGACTCAGTTCATGAAGAACGCTTTTTGCGAGGATGTAATGGAATTAGAAGGCTGCCCAATCGCGGAGACTTCTTCTTACGTATATCTCAGGCGTTTGATAAACATGGAGATCGATGAACGATCTGAAAGGAGAACTAAACAGGAGGTAAAGAGCAGGTTGGGCCGCTTCTGGACCAATAAAGAACAGATCAACTGACAAGCCCAGTGCTTCGAGCCCATCTGTTTGATTCAATTATTCTTTTTGCACTTGTTACGCAGCAGAGACATGGCCTGATATTGTGGCTACATGGCTCTCGAACAACCCATAAAGCGCTGGAACGCGTCTTCTGAAGTACAAGCGACGCAGTCAACATCTCGGAATCGCAGTCCAGATATGAAATCAATGTCTCGTCTTCGCGATCCAGCGGAATACGTCTCTAAGGGAAATCATCGATGGGCTGGTCGTATAATAAGGACAGGCGACAGATGGCACTAAGAACTCTGGAATGGATCCCTCGTGAAGCAAAACGCCCCGAGGGAGGCCACCGACCAGATGGCTGACGTGCTTATCGCATAGGTGGACCAGCTGAATTCTCAGCTGGTAACGAACAGTGGATCTGGACCTGCGAACGTCGCCGCTGCACTTCAATACCAACATTGTGAATGACGTTAGAGAGACAGA